TTACCAGCACGAGAGAGTACACGAAGCATCTGGAATGATATAATATAATAGTAATATATTTTTAAGCATAGCCAATTCTTCTATGAACTACCTATAGGAAACTCTTTGATGCCTTTAAATTTTATTATAAGATTTTTCAAAGCTTTTTTTTCGAGAAGCCTGAACTTACTGGCATACGCTGCTACTCAGCAAGGGCCAGCTTGATGCTACCTTTTGGTAGCAGATTATATTTCGTTGCTCAACACGATTATCTTTTTAAAAGCAAAATCTACGAAGACGTGGGTTAAGCACAAATTGAGTTTTGCATGTTGACATATTCCTGTGCAATGATACTAAATACATTGAAATCTAAGGTGAAAAGTGAAAAAAAAATCAATAAAATAGGTTATATATGCGTTTCTTCGAAATATAGGTAGAAAGAGGAAGTCTGCTTTCTAAATATGTTAGATGATGAGCAAAAAATGTTTATGTTAAAATAAATTTTTGATTTTATTTAGTTGTGAGCATCTCGAGCCTGAAGAAATGATTTTCGGATTACCTTTAGCTCGCTTTCTGTGTCCAATCCATAGCCACTTTTGGCTTCAAGTGTGGTCGTACCACTTTTCAGCATCTCATAGGCAATCTATAAAATGGTAGATTTATGAGAATCATGGTTTTTTACTCAAAGCACGATATTATAAGTAGATTGAAATTCTAAAGGATTATGTGTTAATGCGACTAGGTAGTGCTTACTTTGTCAAAAGAGTTTCTGTTATCTTATTATCTGAGTTTTGAGGACCACTCCATTTGAAAGCACCTTTTTTCCATTATCTTTCCTAAAGCCTTTTCTTCTCATTCTTTTTTTGTTTCACTGTCTCATTAGTTCTTTATGCGGAAATGATGTTGAATAGGATCTGCAACCTTCTTGAACTCTTCCAGCAGATATTCTTCAGAAGCTTCTCTTGTTTTCGAAGTCGTGAAATGTATGCCACCTCCAGCTGCTTGAACCTGCACACAAAAAGCTCAATACCACTTAGAATAACAGTTGATTTATCTTAAGTACCTCCATATAAGTTGCTCCAGCAAGTTTCATAGCAAACTCATGAACTCGATCACCAGCAAAGACAGGATGGGAGTGGCCATCGACAAATCCAGGTAGAAGAATGCCTAGTATTCCAAATTAGAATGTTTTGCCGATTGGTACTTGTTAGCAAGAAATAATGAACTGTAAATAAAGGATTAAGATGAAATTTATATTAAGCCATAAAAATTGCTAAAAGTAAAGAATTTGATTTTGCGTTGTCAAAATTAGCTTACAAGTCTCTCGCCATACAGCAACTATTATTGAAATATCACACTTAATGAGCCTAAATAAATTTACCTCCATTTGTCGCTAACGTCTTCATCACCGGATATTCTCCTATTGCATTCCTAACCTAAAGAAAGATAAACTATATATAAACAACCAATCATTCGATGGGCATTTACTTCTTCTTCAGTTCCAACTGCTGCAATGTCGCCTTTTGCCGAAACAAGTACCGCTAGACCATTGTCGGGATCGCTCAAGACCTATAGAGTACTTAATGAGCTCTCATATATACTAAGTAAAAAATTATCACTGTTAATTGATTAGTGATAGTAAAAAATGACAATATTTTAACGAGAAAACAAAGTATCTTTCGCATATTAAACTTATTTGAAGCATTTTTGTTTAGTATAATACCATTTTTAGTGGATTTCAAAAAAACTACCATCTTCATTCATCGTGAAAAAGATGAGATAACATTTGGTGAACGACAGATGCAGTTTACAAGAGGATGTTGAAAAGGGTAATAATAAGGTATAGATGAAAATAATGAGAATAAAAGTAAATGTGCATAACCACTCAGAAAAAGATTATTATGACGATGCTACATTTTTTTCTTTAAATTTTTGGGAAAGTGCTTTGAGAGGACGGAGATAATATCTTTTATCCAGAAAAATTGGAAAGCACTGTAGAGGCTCTATTCCATGTATTGATATGATATTTATTGTGAGGGTTGACAAAATGGCAAAATGACAAAAAAATTGTAAGGAATTCTAAAATTTGCATAAAATGGTTTTTGGTCTATAAATATTTTGTTCTTATAGAATG